GATGATAGACACTAGTCATAGGACTCAGCTGAATGCACTTCTATCTTCCTAGCAATGGAGGGGCAAGCGCCCTGGCTCCTGAAAGCAAAATTTAGAAAAACGGGAATGGCCAATGGTTGAGAATATTCCTATGATAAAATGCTATAAAAGCCAAAACAGCAACCAAAGAGCTTACAAAAGAGATAAATAGAGTATACTGAAACAATAGGACAGCTCAAAGTGGCTCCCACAGCTAGAATGGATGGATGAAAGAGAAGATTGTTTAGCCTGTCTTTCCCTCCAAAAATCCGCCATTTTACCACCACTTTGGTGGCGCGTTAATTAGAATCATTTCGGTCCATAAGGTCCATTGCATAACCTACATTCCTTGGCATCACGTGATGAATCATGGCAGAATTAGGGAAGGCAAACAACGGTGCAACGAACAAACGATTGAGGAGCACTCCGACTAGAAGGACTCCTGTAAATAGGCCTAAAAGACGTCCTGCTGTCTCTGCTGCTGCCATCAAAGGTATTCAATTAGTATAGCGGTGTGGTGAACAGAAGGAGAAGGTTTTCGAGTTGAGGCTGTTTCTCGGGACCATCATTCATTGCGTAGTAAGTCAAAACTTTTTGTTTTAAACTTTTAATGTTGTGGCCGTCTATTTAGTTTGTGATAACATCTTTTAGGCACCAGTCCACTATTCCTAACTTTTAATTTTGTGGCGTTCTATTTGGTTTGTGATAACATCAGCCCACTTTTCCACCTAGTTCCACCTGTGTTACTACTTCATGTACAATTACAGCTGGCTCTAATTAACTCACCTCTATGTGGTGAAGAGGCTGCTTTCTGAACGATTTCAAGTTGAATCTGTTTTTCAGTCATTCAATAGTAAGTCATAACTTTTTGTTTTGAACTTTTAACTCTACATGGCAATGATGGCCATATTTACAAAGTCACTGTTAATTTACATTTGACTGTAATTATTATAATTTTGCCACGTAATTTTTGAGCTGGTTTTCTGGTAACGTACATGTTTGTGAATGTATGCTTGTTTGTATGTGTATTTATGTAGTACATTCCCGCATACCTTATTTAGCACAATAGGTGATAGCTGCACTGAAGCCATAGTTGGGCATGTACTTAAGTTAACTGTAATATAAAAATGGCTGCTGAACTGAGCAGCAAGAGACCAGAGACCTTGGAAGCAGAATTTGACCTCACCTTGTTGTACCAGTCACTTTGTACCACTCTGAAGAGATTTGTAGTTTCCAAGCACACAAACCATGTTTGTTATTGACACATGAAAAGCTCTTTGATCATCCTCCTTTAGTCTGGTCCTTTTGGACCCACAACATCAAGAGTAAGGATAATGATAGAAGTGAAAGAATATGTGGTACATGTACT